TAATGAATCCTTAGTTGTGATGTTGTAAGTTTCTATTTATGTGAGTGATTTGTAATCTTTGCAACTCTAAAATAAAACTGGGCTCTAGATGCATGAATGTTCACAGCTTCCATTCCTCTGCAGGTTGACTCAGCCGTACCCATGATGAACTTTGACGGTCTCGACCCTGGGATGGGTGAATACCCGCCCAGCCTTCATGGGACGCTGGAGCCGGGTATGGAGCCCTCCATGGATCCGCACCTCAACCCCAGTCTCCTTCAGGGCGTGGAGCTCGATCCAGAGGGGTTGAATGTCACAGGCCCCGAGACAGTGCACCTCATGGAGGGGATGTTTTCTGAGCTGCACAGTGTCGTGTCAGAAGTCGGCATCCCAGTCACTGCAACACATTTCGACCTGCAGGAGGAAATGCTCTGGATGGGAAACCACAGAGTGAGTCCTGATCCTGGAGTATAGATTGATTCTGAACTACCGCTTTAATACAAATGCATGAATATTATTTTAATCCTTTTATTCAGGGCCATGCAAGCTCGTTCTTTGGACCAACAATGGGCCGGTATTCTTCTTTTCAAGCGCACTCCAACGATGACATCCGACAAATTCAGAGTTTGGAAACAGGCGTGCTGTTCCTCTCCAAGAGCAACCTTAAATGCCACACTCGTGGGGGCCTTGTCATGTTTGATTATCCGTAAGTGTCGCTAAAACTAAAGTGGAACTAATGTCATTGTGCCGAGATTGTTTATTTCCTCTTGATTTAAGTTCCAGATGATCAATAACGTATGTGTGTGTTACAGGATGGAGGAAGGAGCTGATATGCATAGTCTCCTCATGACTGACAACAATATGATGATCATGGGCGGATTGCAAAACTATGTGATTGAACTTGACTTGAATACGGTTCAAGAAACTCAAAAGGTGAGACTTCAGGATTAAGTTTATCATCATTCGCAGCTGGTTTATTCTGCCAGGTGATATAAAAATAACCAAAGCGTAAGCACAAGTGACGGACTGTTTACTTTCTTTTTGTGTGTACCGACAGTTCACAGTCGAGGTACCAGGAGTTGCAATAATGCGTCAAACCAGTCGTTTCTTCTTCTGTGGTCACACCTCTGGCAAGGTACAGATAACTTGAAGAAATCACTGTGTGAAAGATGTTTTTCAAGGTTACACATCTCTCACGGTCGCCCTCTGTTAAAACCAGATAACTCTTCGAGACCTGCGTACTTTCAAGACGGAGCAAGAGTTTGACGCCTTCTCGGGCAGCCTCTCGGACTTTGACGTTCATGGGAACCTTCTGGCTGCGTGCGGATTCTCCAGCCGAGGAATGAATGGATTGGCATGCGACCGATTTCTCATGGTGTATGACCTCCGCATGATGAGAGCCGTAACTCCACTTCAGGTGCACGTCGACCCCCTGTTCTTGCGCTTCATTCCCACCTACACGTCACGTCTGGCAATCATCTCACAGACAGGTATGGTGGGATCTCATTCATATCATTTGCTTCTGTCAGTTTGTTGACTTGTTTATCAATTTATGTAAAAGTTTAAAATGTTCCTTGTAAACAAACACCCAGGCTCCATGTACTAGTATTTATAAACCATTTCCAATGTTTAATTCAGGGTTATGATGTAATTATCCACATCCTCTTTCTCTATCCAGGTCAGTGCCAGTTCTGTGAACCCACTGGTCTTGCCAACTTGGCAGACGTATTCCATGTCAACACGGTGGGGCAGCTGCTCATGAGTTTTGACGTCTCAGCCAGCAAACAAGCCCTGTCCTTTGGGGACTCTGGGGGGTGTGTGCATCTGTGGTCTGACGCTCCTGAAGTGTCCTTTAATGATTACTCCCGGGAGACGGAGTTTGCGCTGCCGTGCCTCGTGGACACGCTGCCTCAGCTGGACTGGAACCACGACCTGCTGCCCATCTCGCTCATCCCCATGCCGCTGACCAGCACTGAGCCGCTGCTGTCGGACTGGTCTGCTGCCCTGGCTGCACCGAGTCCCAGGTAACGCAGTCATGTGTATTTAACATAAATGATGCTGTACGGTGGGTGAAGTCATGATGAAGTTACAGTGTGTTGCATAGTGAGGATCCTACAAAAGTACTTCAAAGAGTAAGGTGACATTTACACATAAGAACATACATTAAACAATCTTTGTGGTTCAGCTCTACAGTTTTCTTACAGTAATAAGTAAAAAACATCAATTCATCTCCGTAACAGTTAGAATCTGTGTAGCCTGATAACGGCACCAGTACCAGAGCTCCCCCTCAGACTCACACTCAGGCTCAGTTCTTGAAATGCAAGTAAACATAGTTCCCATTATTCACTCGGTTTACTTCTTCTTTAGTACAGGGCTCAGCTTTTTAGGCAATAATTTAGCCTTTGTTAGAAATGAAACTACTCTTGTAACCATGTTTTAAGGATTACGTCTTATGTGGAAACCAGCGAGCAGGGGACAGAGGGCCACAGACATGAACAGGAAGTGGGAAAGTATTGAGAGACAGAAAAACGAACACGTGGTTGTTTTTTTTTTTGGTCTTTAATGGGATTGGTTGACAAAAGCAGAAATGTAGAATATCTAGAGCGTTATGCTTTCCCTGGTATATGAAATGAAACCAAAATAATATATACAAAACATCAAGCTGCACAACGAAATGTATGATCTCACTTCTCACGTCATATAAATATTGAGTCACAATGTGGAATGTATTTCTCTCTTCTGCTGCCATTGTTGACAAATTCAACAGAAGTGATGTCACTCTTTGCTGAAGCAATATACGGAACAATTGAAAAAAAGAACAGCGACTAGAAAGACACATCTCCAGTAATTATTAGACATTTCAACATCGACTAATTCTCATAAAATCTGACTCCACTTCTTTAATTTAAACGTAAATATGGCCCCATTAGAATGTGGTGTTGAAGTTTGACCTGTGTCTGATTACACACGATGACATCACTAATATAAATTGAGTGGATACGATTTTCGAAGTACCCAGACTGCATTAGTTATAGCTTGGTAATAACCTTATCATTTTCATATCTGCTCCCATCTAAGAAATGTCCTTTGTCCAACAGACGAGCTCCGCCTGTGGACCCAGAGATCCTGCGCACAATGAAAACTGTTGGGTTCATTGGTTATGCAGCGAATCCTCGCACCCGCCCTCGCAACCAGGCACGTTAAAAGATGCAACACACAGCACTGAAAATCACCAAATGTTCACACGTGTGATCTCAGTCATTCGTTATTAAAAATCTGTTTTCTGCGTTGATTTCAGGTTCCTTACAAAATCAAAGATGTGGAGCTCGACTATGATAATTACAATCAGGTCCCTGAATCACCCATCGGGCGAGATGAAGAGCCACACCTCTACATGGTGCCCAAAAAGTACAGAAAGGTACAGTTCACCACTTTTTATTGGACAATTTGTCGACTTTTGTGATATAATATATATATATTTTATTGTTGCTGTGTAAAAAAACATTTTTTATTTCTGAAATGTGTGATAAAGACGAGTTTTTTTGCCGTATCAGGTCACGATTAAATATTCTAAACTGGGACTGGAGGACTTTGACTTCAAACATTACAACAGAACCTTGTTCGCTGGCCTGGAGCCTCACATCCCTAATGCTTACTGCAACTGCATGATCCAGGTGAGAAATGAGGAAGGTTGAGAGTGTTCTTCTTCAGTCGTTGTCTTAAGTGAACTGTCCTTTAGTGATGGAGTTTTCTTCTACTCATGCAGAGTTGTCTCCTCTTTGTGTTCGCACGTTAGGTATTATATTTCCTGGAACCAATCCGGTGTCTGGTGCAGAATCATTTGTGCCAGAAGGAGTTTTGTTTGGCCTGTGAGCTCGGCTTCCTCTTCCACATGTTGGATTTGTCTCGAGGAGATCCATGTCAGGTAGCTGTCAGTTGCTGTCTCTCTGAAAAGCAGCAGGCGGATCCCTGTGGTAAAGCAGAGGTTTCATCCACTCTCCTGTCTCCTCTCCTCCAGGCCAGTAACTTCCTCCGAGCGTTTCGCACCATCCCTGAAGCCTCGGCGCTGGGCCTCATCCTCGCAGACTCAGACGAGCAAACGGGGAAAGCTAGACTCGGTCGCTTGATCCAAAGCTGGAACCGCTTCATCCTCACCCAACTCCACCAGGAGACGCAGGAGCAGGAGGGTCCGCAGGCCTACAGGGGAGCCAGCAGCAGGTCAGAGCAACAAACAGAAGCTGAGCCAAAATAGTTCCCTGAACAAAGCTCCTGATGCTCACTGCTCAGTCTGGAGACATTTAGGAACTAGTCAAGGGAAACGTTCTCATTTTTATTTTTTTTATTTCTTGAAGTTCCCTGGGCTCCTCTGGTGAGTCTGTCATTGGAAAGCTGTTTGGATGTGAAGTGGAGAACAGCAGCCTGTGTCGCTGTGGCAAGGAGACGGTCCGCTCCTCCCTCACACTGCTCTTCACCATGCATTATCCTGAGCAGAACTCTCAGGGTGAGTTCAAGGTCCTGCTCCACGAGGAGAGTCGTGTAGGCTGAAGCTGAAGCTGCAGAAAGACCACGAAACCCTTCTATGTTTGATAAACAATATTCACTTCACTTGACAGAAAAGACAATAAAGGAGTATGACTTCGCTGAGATCCTGAAGAAGAGCATCTGTCTGGAGCAGAGCACTCAGGCCTGGTGTGAAAACTGTGAGAAGTACCAGCCCACGGTGAGTTTCAGCCGTCATTCAGACAACATCCACAGAACGACGTTACGCGTAACTGTTGCTGACGTTCACCCGAAAATCTTCAAAAAAATGTATCCACAGTCTTAACACTTCCCGGTCCAATAACTAAAATCCAAATGCAATTGGACCATCTGCTTTCTGTACACACCCTTACACGTGTAGCCAGTGCACGTGAAGCGTCCTGTGATATGATCCGGAGCTAATGTGCTCATCTGAGATGGTTTCTGTTTTCTGTCTTAGTGTGGACGTAGCCTCAGACATATAACACATTTAAAACTGTGTCGCAGTGTAATATTGTTTTTGTTCGTCACTTTAGGTGCAAACACGCAACATTCGATGTCTCCCAGATGTGCTGGTTATAAACTGTGAGGTGAACAGTGCCAAAGAGGCTGAATTCTGGAAGGCTCAGGCGGAGGTAATGTTCCACTCTGACAAGTTTCAAATACACTTTAAAAGCTGCAGGTTTTCTAATTCCATGATTCACGTGATTGTTTGTTGTGGTCTTCACAGTTTGCCTTCAATAAGGTCATGCAGAAAGAGGCGATGGAACCTCCAAAACCTAAAGAACCCCCACCGATGCCCACCGAGTGGTGCTTAGAGTAAGATCCTTTTTATTATAATTCATAATTATGTTCACTGTCGTTCCATTTTTTCAATTTAGTTTTTTCTTTCAAACATCTGAAGAAATACCCAACATGATCGTAGAGACGTCTTCACATTGCTTGTCTTGTTTTATCATCAATTTAAAATCCAAAGATATTTAAGTCACAATTATTTTGTATAAAAATTAACTTAAAGATTTTTGCCAGTTAAGTTTCTGTGAATCGACAGCTCCACAAATAACATGATATGAGTTGAATGTGTCTAAACTTGGTCCTTGTGCAGTGGGGAGGACATGTGCAACATGGAGGGCTTTGCTGTCGACACTCGGGCGGAGGATCTGCGACATGTCTGGATCCCTCCCACTCTCAAAATGTCCATCAGCAAAAGTCAGGGGCTGGAGATCTGCAGCTGGCCTGAGGGGGAGGAGGTGACTGATTTTACTACTTGACCTCATCTTGCTCACCATGTGATGATTATTGTGATGTCAAGATCTACATGAGATTAATGACTCGTCATATTTCCAACAGTTAAGCGCTGATGAAGAGGCGGCGGGCACTTCTTTGTATGACCTGGTGGTCACGGTGCCTCACGTCCTGGACGCCCGCACGGGCGGAAACCTGATAGCACACATCAAAGTGGGTGAGACGTACCATCAGAGGAAAGAGGTGAGTGAAGCTCAGATGAGTAAATACAGTTTGACATGAGACGAGCTGCCCCCACGTAGATTCTGTGAAACTTTAATGTGACACGTGTTTGCTTCAGGGAGTCACACATCAGCAGTGGTACCTGTTCAATGATTTCCTAATCGAGCCAATTGATAAGGTAAATAATATGTTTATCACACGTTTGTATAATTCTATTGAAACCTTTAGTTTTGTGGTCATGTGAAAATAAACGTTTCTTTTTGTCGAAGGCTGAAGCTGCACAGTTTGACTTGAGCTGGAAGGTGCCGGCCATTCTTTACTATGCCAAGAGGAACTACCACACCAAGTACGACCTCCGCAGTAAGTTAAAGGACGTTAACTGTGGAAATTTAACTCAAAGGTTTGCATTAAGTTTATGTCTCATCTAACTGCTCTTTCTTTGCCATTTGTCACAGTTAAAAATCCCATCGACGCGAGCGTGCTGCTGACAGAAGCTTCACTGGCTCGGAAACAGAGGAAGAGTCACGCCACCTTCATCCCGCTCATGGTCAGTGAGATGCCACAGGCCGGAGACCTGGTGGGGCTGGACGCAGAGTTTGTCACACTCAATCAGGTGAGTCCATCGAAAGATTCTGGAAAAAATATTAATTCTGTTCAAACAACAGCACAAAACACAGAAGTCAAAAAATACATCACATTGTCAATATGGGAAATTCTCACATTTCACAAGATGAGATCAGATTTTGCTTAAAAAAATATTATTATTGAGATTATTTTTCAGCTCATCAGTATCTCAAGCAGTGTTTCTATATAATACATGTGGTGATGTAACTCAAATCTGTTTTACTTTTAAATCACCCTCTAAACTGTGTCTCTGTCTGTCTGTGTCTGTCTGTGTCTGTCTGTGTCCGTCTGTGTCCGTCTGTGTC